AGATCGATGTAAACCTTCCTTGATATACCGTGAACTCGTACAGAGAAGTATTTGCGCTAAGGCTATTTGGAACGAGTACGAAAGTTAACGCAACCCTAAACCTGAGGCGCCTTTTTGTATGCGCAGGTATAGGGTTGGCGTAAAAGGCTTACAGCCTGATATGGGCCTGACATTTGGTCCCATATACTTTAACCTAATAAATACACATATTGAATACAAGGAATAATAATAAAGCTAATCTATTACAAGATAGGTGACAAAACTTGATTCACAATTAAATGATCTTCAACACAATGCGTTAATTAAACGTTACAGATTAACCATAAATTCACAAATGTTTCTGATTTCACTCTGAACTCGTGTAGAATTTGATGCGATCATATCTTGCTCTATTTTGTTGCATTGAAAGCATTTAATATCTCGTTGGAAAGAGCTTACCGAGTTCTAAAACTTGTCTTCAGGCGCTATTTTCAAAATATCAAGGGATGATTGCCTAATTACTAAAATACCCTGTATTTACGCTAAAAGTGCTCTATTTATGCTGAAAACGCTCAATTATAGAGATAAGGCTAAGTGTTTGTGACACTCATATCTTGCTGTGTGTTCTTCCGTTTTGAGCGTATTATATGTCGTTGGAAAGATAATTTGGAGCTCTAAATCTATTGTTCCAACTTCATTTACAATGCATTAATTAAAAGTTACAGATTAACCATAAATTCACAAATGTTTCTGATTTCACTCCGAACTCGTGTAGAATTTGATGCGATCATATCTTGCTCTGTTTTGTTGCATTGAAAGCGGTTAGTATCTCGTTGGCGTGATATTAGGCCGGACAAGTCATTTCCTCATGTGAAACCTCTACTAGGTGGGACAAGTTATTTTCTCTTGATTGCTTTTTATTCAACATGTGATGATCCCATTATGTATTGTTTCTGTACTTTTGCAGGTCTAAGAATGGCTTTTCTTAATGTTACTTTCCATGAACTTTTAGTGATAACGACACAGTAACTCTCACACAGTTTTCTCCTCATTTGGTCTCTGCGATCGGTTCCAATTCAATATTTGATTTTTAGTTGAATTTGATGCGATCATATCTTGCTCTATTTTGTGCATTAAACGTCCTCCATGCTGGATTTCCTTAATTTTGAGTGAAATCAGAAACATTAGTTGAACTTTTAGAGCAAGATATGATCTTAGATTAGATCATCACTTTCATATTTTTAGAGCTTAGTTTTTAGTTGGTGGCCAGAAATTTCTTGTATTTTACAAGGTGTTGTAAACACTCAGGAGGAGAGTTGTTCCTGGCCCGAAGTGTGGTTAGATAGGTCAGGAGTACCTTTTGATCCCCACTGGATAAATTGAGAAAAACCTAAAGGATTGAGTAGCTTGGGGTATGGTAATGGGAGTCGATGAGAACAAGGGTCTGGGGTGGGGTCGAGGTGGGGTCGAGGTAGGGGCAGGTGGTAGGGGTAAAAAGGTAGGGTCGAGGTAAGGGGTACAGTTGGGGTAGGGGGTAGGGTGGGGGTAAGGTCGGGGTCAGGTCAAGGTAGGGGAAGGTGGTTAGGGGTAAAGGGGTAGGGTAATGGGTGAGGGTGGGGGTGGGGTAGGGAAGGTGGTGGAGCGTAGGGTAGGGGTAAGGGTAAGGGGGCTGGGGTGGTAGGGTAGGGGTTGGGTAAGGTGGTGGGGGAGGGATAGGGAATGGGGTGGGGTCGAAGTAGGGGCATGTGGTAAGCGGTAAAAGGGTAGGGTCGGGGTAGGATAAAGGTAATGAGTAGTTGGGGGTAGTGGGGTATGGTCTGGTCAAAGGTAGGGGTGGGGTCGAGGTAGGGCAGGTGGTAGGGGTAAAAGGGTAGGGTCGAGGTAAGGGGTGCAAGTGGGGTAGGGGTAGGGGTAGGGTGGGGGTGGGGATAAAGGGTAGGGAAGGGTGTGGGTCGAGGTAGGGGTAGGTTCGGGGTAGGGAAGGGGGCAGAGAGGGGATGGGGTCAGGGTCGTGTCAAGGTAGGGGAAGGTGGTAGGGGGTAAAGGGGTAGGGTAAGGAGTGAGGGTGGGGGTGGGGTAGGGCAGGTGGTGGAGGGTAGGGTCGGGTAGGGGGTAAGGTGGGGTGGGGTATGGTAAGATCAAGGGTGGGGTGGGGTCGGGGTGTCAGGGTGGGGTTAGGGGTCCGTGGTGGGGGGGGGGTCGGGTAGTGGGGTAGCAGTAGGGTAAGGGCAAGGGGTAAAGGTGAGGGTAAATTCGGAAACTGAAAAAACTTAAAGTGTCGCTTTATTAATACATGGGGGCTGGTATGCTTATTAAGCGACACTTTAAGCACCTCTTTCGGTTAGTAAGCAACAACGTTTTAAGCAACTTGCGTGTTTACTTCACTTGTCTTACTAACCTAACTGTGACTTTAGCAGCGAAGTAAACGCCTCATAAGTAAATACATATCACATAAAATTTTAGAGGACAAATCTCCTTCACCCATTTCCAAAATGGCCACATTTTTTAAAAACACAATGTCACCATCATTTTTTATGTCAGTGTGAGACTTTTATGTCGTTGTTATATGTCACTACCAGATTTTTACGTAACTACTGGTTTTATGTCAATTTCAGATGTCACTATACTGGATACTGTGTTGCCGGATAATTTTCCGACGACTTTTCCCCATCAAAATTTTCACTTGAAACCATCACCCTGCCGCCACGAAACCGCTGCCATCGCGTGAGACCGCCTACGGTCCCTTACCCAACCCTGCTCCCCGAGCCCCCTCCACTGCTTCCCCATCCCTCCACAACTTCACAGCCCCGTCCACTGCCAACCCCGCCACCTAGCCCCCATCCTAGCACTGCCCAACCACCGCGGTCGCCGCCTCTATGCCTACCCTAGCTCCAGCCCCCCAGCTCCAACCGACGCCAGTGACCTCCTATCCCACCCCTTCCAGTGACCAGCAACCGTAGCCCATATTAGACTGCAACACCCACCAACCAGACCCCAACCATGACGCACCCAAGTTGTCACCATCCCTGACCCACCCCAGGCCAAATTGTAGCCGCCACACGACCTTCTAGATCTGGATCAGCTCCAGCCGCCACACGAGCTTCAGGATCCAGATCCCAAAACGAGGAAGGAGTTCACCAATCGTCATCTCCTCAATTTCTACATCCCCGACGCTACAAAGAACGAGATGAAAAAGAAAGCGAGCGGCAGTGTAAAATTACTTTTATAATCTCGATATTTAAAATGTCATATTCCTGGAAACAATTTTATCAGAATTGTAATTATTTTGAAAAATAGTACTCATGTGTATATAATTTGTGATTGAAAAGTAAATTACTCGAAGATATGAGTTTTTTCTCAAAATACCGTCAAATAAATAAATATTTCCAAAAATAATGTTGGGTTAAAAGTATTTCCCTAAATAATGCTAGAATAACCAGAGTTAAAGAACCGCCACTTGAAGTGGCAGCTTATATGAACAAAAAGAACTAACACACGTCATAAGCAAGGAGGAAGAAGAATTGAGTCATGGGTCCCACCACCAAATAAAATATCATGTTTTTTTTTTAAAATTAATATAACTTTTTTATTTGTACTCCGATTATTATAAAAAATATATCAAAATTCATAACTTTTTATTATCTTTCATATGACACCAATATTGAATATATAAAAATAAAAAAATAATTTGACACTTTATAAAAATATCTACTTTTTAAAGCTTTATATCTTTTTTTATTTGAAATCCGATCCTTATAAAAAATATATCAAAATGAATAATTTTTATTATCTTTCATAGGAGTCTAGGACACCAATGTTGAATATATAAAAATAAAAAAATTAATTCAACACTTTAAAAATATCAACTTATTAAAGAGCTATATCTTTTTATTTGTACTCCGATTATTATAAAAATATATATCAAAATTGTTAAGTCTTTATTATCTTCCATATGATATCAATGTTGCATATATAAAAATAAATAGTTATTCTATTATTTTTTGCAGTTTAGGATCGTTTATTTTCAACAATTTTTTTGTTATTTTATATATGCAACATTGATTTCATATGAAAGATATTAAAAAAGTTATGGATTTTGATATATATTTTTAAAATAATCATAGTACAAATAAAAAAATATAGCACTTTAAAAAAGTAGATATTTTAAATGTCAAATTATTTTTTTTATTTTTATATATTCAATATTGGTGTCATATGAAAGATAATAAAAAATTATGAATTTTGATATATGTTTTATAATAATCGGAGTATAAAGTTATATCAATTTTAAAAAACATGATATTTTATTTGGTGGTAGGACCCATTACTCAATTCTTCTTCCTCCAAGCTTATGACGTGCAATTATTTAAAAAAAAATTGTGTAAAGCTATATCGTTTTTGGATTGAAGCACGGTGCTCAGTGTGATGATACCACAATATACAAATCAATACTATTTTTGATAGACACCGTCACTAACATTGCTATTTTGTAAAATGGGAAAAGAGCCAAAAATGACACTGACGTTGTTTAGTAATCTCAGATAGGACACTGAAGTTTAAAGTGAACCATTTAAACACATAAGCCACCTGTTTGGGTTACATTTGGCCACTCCCTAACCGAGCCGTCCATCTGTCGTTAACTCCCTCCTCTCCCCCAATTAAATGCTACCCAACAAAATTGACAACCCTAATTCATCTGCCATGAAGCTAATTCATCTGCCATGAAGATCCTTAGCCTGAAACTGAGTGCGCTTAGAAGAAGAGTGATTACTTCCGTACGCACGTGAATGACGGGGAGTGCTTAGCGTCTCATTTTGGAATCCACAGTCACACTTAAAGGTATTCAATGTACTTATTTCCTTTTCCTCGTAAAGGATGAGTGAGTTGGTGAACCTGCGGTTTAATCACAGTGGGAGATGGATTTTGCACATGAAAATGAAATATGTTGATGTATAGGTTTGATCCCAACTTTCTATGCTTTCATGACATTCAAAGAACTTACAAAGAAGAATTGAGTTTCATAACACTAAAAAACATATATGTGTTGGTACCCGGAAAAGATTTGGAGGATGGGCTGTTTTTAGTTCAAGATGATGACACAATTAGGAAGGTTTTGAATAGGATTAGGAATTTTTGTTGGACAAGTAGAATGGTCTTTCTGTTCAAAATCAATACCAGTAGCCTAGTAGGTACTCCATAACAACAAACAACTAGGGAGTACTACCGTGTCTACTGTCTAGTATCATACTCGTATCAGAAATATCTACAAACCGGAATACAAATTGATATATCATGGATTCTTCATAATAAGCGGTGGGCGGTACGGATTACTTGAAAAAATCAGTGTAGCTAATAATGTCGATATTATGAGGATGATACGGAGTATGATATAATCAATCATCAGAGCTATTTGAGGTTGATTGAAAGTTGAAACCCACCTCCACTCGGTTTACTGCGACTCTTCTCTCTTTTCATTTGTTCCATCGCAAATCGCAGGTAAATCTCTAAGCATACAACAAAATGGCAGACGTCACTGATGATATAGCAGAGGAGATTTCATTTCAGAGCTTTGAGGATGACTGCCGGCTGCTTCAGAGCCTTCTCAACGATGTGCTCCACCGGGAAGTGGGTCCCGAGTTCATGGAGAAAGTTGAAAGGACTCGATGCCTCGCTCAAGTAAACCCGATTCTTTCTTATACCTCACTTCTTCATATTCATAGAATTGAATATTTTGTTTCTGTGTTTCTTTTCTCTTTTCTTATACTTGAATCCGAATATTGTTCATCCCTTTATAAATGCATGTGGTCAGGGTATAAAGTATCATCTTTGGGTTTTGGATTCTGGATTCTGCACTCCCATGCTCTATTTTTCTTAACTCTAGTAGAAAAATTTATCTTTAGGCACAAAGATGCTTTGTTTCTTGTTAATATTTTAATTTTAGTGTTAGTTTTAACTTCTGACTGTCATACAGTTCGCCCTTTATGTTATTCGTTACAAGTTTAAGTCCAGAATGATTTTCAATTTGCCAATAGATTGAGCTTACTATTAGGTGTTGGCATTTGACAATAAGTAGTTTGAGTACATGTTCACTTAACGTTATTTCTTTTTGTAAAGTTTTATTTTTTGGTTCTTTATTTGATGGATTCCTTGTACTTATATATGCGGGCCTGTATTTTATTCTTCTTAACTGTAGAGCCCGTATGGTGACCAGTGAGGGTTATTTGGCCGAAATGAACTGGCTGAACTTTATTCTCTTAGCTTTAGAACCCATTGGGTACAAATGACTGTTTAGCTGAAATGACCGTATCTGTTGATTTTTTATTTTGTCTGAAGGAGAAAGCGCTAACATCCATTTCATTCAAATACGCAAGTTAAAAGCTACATATACTACTGAGCACTGCTCAGCTGAATGACACGATTTACGGTTTTGTCAACCAAACAGAACCTTAATCACAAAAGTTATATTTTTTCCTGTAGTCACACATTTCACTTTGTGAGTTGCTGTTTGCAAGATAATTAGGAAGATACTAAAAGATTTGCAATTTGCGAATAGATTAAGGGTTCATTTGATAAGGGTTATATGACTGAAATAGCTGAATGTGCCAAATCTTCCAGGAGGAAAAATATTTGGTAACATCAATTTCAGCCAAATTAGTTAATCAAAATATACATATTTTGCAGATAAGCAGAGTAAACATAAGAAGTAAAAAATCTACCTAACAGAGCCTAAGTTATATGGTGTTGACTATTAATATATGTGTAGTGAATGTGTAATTGGAGATATACTGATGGGAAAAATATTGTGAGTTTAGAGCGCATGTAACATGAGAGCAGCTGGGATAGAAGACACAGCAGAGCTTCTTGAGAAACAGTTAGCAACAGAGTTGTCAAATATGACATTCGAGGAAGCACTCTCACTTGCCCGCACATTTAGTCACTATCTCAACTTGATGGGAATTGCAGAAACTCATCACAGGTTATTTTTGTTATACGCGTATGTGTTTAATGTATTGTTAGTGTTATTACTATTAATATTTTCCAATCTCGCGCATGCTTACTAATTCTTCATGAAATAATGACAATTATATAACTGTAGTGACTATAGTGATGTTCAATTATACATTGTAGTGACTATGCGGATATTTTTGTTGTGACCGTAGTGACCATATAGCCATTTCTTTTGTCCATCAGTCCTGTCGCAGTAAATATTATATGAAAAACCCCCAGGCGCTAGAGATCTGTTTGATGCTGGAAACTAATGATTTAGGACTAATAAAAAGATTAAATGTTTTTGCAGAGTAAGGAGGGCCCGAGGGGTGACACAGCTATCAAAATCTTGTGATGACACATTCAACCGTCTTCTGCAGAGTGGTGTTTCTCCAGATGAACTTTATGACTCTGTCTGCAAGCAGGTGTGTGTAGCATATCATATTTTAGTACAACTTCTCCATTTTCTTATTGTTATTTCTTCATTATTTCAGGAGGTTGAGATTGTTCTAACCGCACATCCAACACAAATAAACCGCAGAACACTACAGTACAAGCACATTAGAATAGCGGTAATTCTAGTCTTAAATTTCACTGCTATGGTTTACAATTTTGACCTTTGCATTTCACCTGAATTTTGTCCTTCCAGCATCTATTAGAGTACAATGATCGGACTGATCTTGGGATTGAAGACCGAGACATGCTGATTGAAGACCTGGTTAGAGAGATCACTTCAATATGGCAGACGGATGAGTTGAGGCGACACAAACCTACTCCAGTTGATGAAGCCCGGGCTGGTAAGCCATTTTGGAAATTGAAATATTACTCTGCTCTTACACTTAAGGCCCTGTTTTCTCTAAAAAAGTTTCACTGAGAAAGTGAGAAATGTTTTGTGGGGTTTCCTTCTTTTAGTACATGGAAAATCTTCATGTAAAGATTTTCTAAACAATGGCTAGAATTTTTTTTTTTGGCTATTCCAATGAAAATTTGAAAACAAGTCATTTCATGAAACAATATAGTATCTTCTATTTCTGTGGGCTAAATGTTACCCAGTAGTATATACTATATACATATAAAAACTTTTATCCAAGAAACCCTTTTAAAAAAACATACATTTCAGACAGGAATTAATGACAATCATATGTCAAGTAAAAGGAATGGACAAATTTTCCACTTTTAGTACAGACTGACCATAGTGGTGTTTTTACCATGACTCTGGTTACCATAGTGTAGTTCAATTTCACAGTGCCAGTGACCATGACAGCATTCTCACATTTAGTGACAATGTAGTTTTATTTTTATTCATGAGTTTTATTCTAGTATCATTATACTGAAACCAATTTTATTTTCTCCTAATCAAGTGGAACCTTACATTTTAACTAGAAGTATATTCACAATTTCACATGCCGATATATAAACTCTCCAGGCTTAAATATTGTGGAGCAGACACTTTGGAAAGCTGTACCACATTATCTACGCCGTGTTAGCAATGCTTTAAAGAAGGTATATTTTAATTAGCTGATATTTTGGGGGTACTGTTCTTAAAAATTAATGGTATTTTATGATAATGACCTCTTAACATTTCAGCATACGGGAAGAGGGCTTCCATTGACATGCACACCAATAAAGTTTGGATCTTGGATGGGGGGCGACCGAGATGGAAATCCAAATGTCACATCAAAGGTAATTTTCTTTCTTTTTGATGCTGTTGCTTTCTTCTAAGATAACAACTCACCAACCTTTTTACTTATGTTCTCTCAGGTAACAAAAGATGTTTCTCTTTTGTCAAGATGGATGGCAATTGATCTATATGTACGTGAAATTGATAGTTTAAGATTTGAACTTTCTATGAATCGGTGTAGCGATACATTGTCATGTTTGGCTCATGAAATCTTAGAAAAAGGTATATGCTTCGTGAACCTGTTGTTGTCTAGTTTGAAATATTACTTCAAAGAAGTTGTTACTTTAAAAAGCGTTATTTTGAACTTGAATTATTTTTCAGCTTTTTATGTGAATTTGATCTTTGCCAGAAAATTTACAAGAGGAACACAAAGACAATTGGAATCAGCATACGAGTTGGAGCCAATCAAAGCATCAGGCTCCTCATTTTCCTTCACAGCTCCCAACCGGGGCTGATCTACCCTCTTGCACTAGTAATGTTCTTATTTATACTACATATTATATTTGGGTGTCTTTCATATATAGAATGTTTGTCTTTAACGGTTTTCGCCCCTTCCAAAATTACCGTCCATTTTCTTATGCCTCACACTTTTCACATTCCTAAATACCACGCCCGTTTCAAGTTGTTAATAATTTCTAGATTTATTTGTTCAATATATTTATTTATATATGTTTTTGGCTAATATATACTCCGTAGCATATTCACATTTCACATTTCTATGTTTCAGAATGCAATGACGTTGAATCTCACTATCCTCGTTTGGATGTTCCGGGGACTGAGTTCAAGAATCGTCAGGTGAAGCCCTTTTAATTTAAGACAATATTTCAAATTTCCAACTTAACAAAAGTATAGTTTTTGTAATTTGGAATACTGTACAGGTCTTGCAGGATGGTCAAGGAACAGGAGTAATTAGTCCTTTGGCTCCTCCTGATTCACCTAGAAGCCAGAGAGCACATGGAAATGGAAACGCTGTTGCTGTGAGTCCATGTGCCAGTTCTGGTCAGATTCTTGCTCAAAGGAAATTCTTTTCTGAATCTCAGATAGGAAGGAGCAATTTTCAGAAGCTTCTAGAACCAAGCTCGTCTCAGAGTCCAGGAATAGCCCCTTACCGCATAGTACTTGGGGATGTTAAAGAAAGGGTACTCCACATCCCACCTTTTAGTAGAAAATCCATTCAACGGAATTTTCCAAAAATAAAAAAATGTTTCTATCACATTATGAGATTTTTATTATTATTTGTGGATGGAGGTAGTATATTTCATATTTCATGTATGATTCTGTATATATAAATTAAAAAAGATATATCGAGTAAAAGAAGAAAATGAGTATGAGCTTTAGGTTCCGAACACATCCGCTCTAAGAAAATTCAGCAATTCAGACAAATAACCCTTACCAAACAAGCCCTATATTTGTTTTTTAAAACTTTTGATTTGGTTTATTGTGCCATACCACTACTTAATATATACTCCTTCCATGAACTTCACCAGCTCATGAAGACACGGAGGAGACTTGAACTACTTCTAGAGGATCTTCCTTGTGATCATGATCCTTGTGATCATTATGAAACATCTGATCAGCTTCTAGAACCACTGTTACTGTGCTATGAGTCACTGGTAAAATCTGTGTACGGTATTATAGGCGAAGAATGCTCATAGATTAATAATATTTGACCATAACATTAGATCTTTTTTTTAACTCTTTGCAGCAATCTTGTGGATCAGGAGTTCTAGCTGAAGGTAGACTTGCAGACTTGATCAGGCGAGTTGCCACGTTTGGGATGGTACTAATGAAGCTGGACCTTCGTCAGGTACTCATTAACCATGTATTTGCCAAGATGTTTAGTCCCTATATTTATCTTAAAATTGGGATTCTAGTAATGTAGTCCCTGTTTAAAATTTCCTCGAGTATTTAGAGCCGCATTTTGGCCTTACAAATCAAACCCATCCTTTCTCTTTTTCATACCAGTAGTCAAGATTGTGACCAGCTATAGTATCCAATGGCCATGGGTGTAGTCATCTTATTGGTTCTAAGATAATTATATAAGATAGTAATCAGGTATAGTGATACTATCAGTCCTCCTCATTATTATTACCTACATTTCAAAAGCAATTATTATGTCTTTAAAAGACCAAATCCACTAAAAATAGAAAGTTCAAAATTGAAAAACAAATATCGATCACACAGACACACCTCTACTAGTGCGCCAAGGCTTCCCTTCAACAGTAAAAAGGAATAAAATGTGAAAATTATCAGTGACCAAAATAACTATTTTAAAGATAACTCAGGGACTAAGAGTGGTGACTTTGAAGTAATTTGGAATTATCTGTTATATGCTTTTATCCACTTCCTTTTTTTCCCCTTCATCTTCTTTATCTTTCTTATGTTTTTTTATCCTTTTTATTTTATTATATATATATATTCTTTTCATCCCTTTTATCTTATCATTTTTATCTATATCTTATCTCTATATAATCTTTTCTTTTATTTATTCTTTTTTTATCATACCTTATGTTTTTATCTTTCTTATCTTTCTTTTCCTTTGGCTTCGATATCATGTATCGACTCATGTTAGCCACTTGGCCGATCCCAAATATTTTGGGACTAAGGCCTTGTATTTATACTAATTATAATTCTGTTGCAGGAATCTTCTAGGCATTCTGAAACACTTGATGCAATCACCACGTACCTAGACATCGGGTCATACAGCGAGTGGGATGAAGACCGCAAGCTTGAATTTCTGACTAGGGAATTAAAAGGGAAGAGGCCCTTGGTACCTTTGACTATAGAGGTCTGATTTTGTTCCTTTGTTAGGTTTCAATCGTTCTCAGTTTTTCATATTATTTTGGTACCCCAGTGTTTGGTTTTTGAATGCCAATGTTCCATTCATTGCTTGTTTGTTATCCTTTTTCTTCTTCTAAAGGTTGCTCCTGATGTTAAAGAAGTGTTGGACACCTTTAGAGTTGCAGCTGAACTAGGGAGTGACTCACTTGGAGCTTATGTTATCTCCATGGCTTCAAACGTATAATTATTCTTCCACTTGTGATTGTTGATTCTTCTTATTTTTTGACTTTATAATAATAACTGGAATAGTGTTGTTGTTGCTGCTACTATTAGTTATTAACCCCCATTCCAAAATAATTGTTGTTTCAGCCTACCCACACAAGTTTTTCCAAATAATTTTTTTCCCTATATCTCTTAAAGTTGCCCATATTTACTTCTCTCAAAACAAATACTTACATATGAATGATGGGAATAAATGTGATTAGACTAAAATAAGACATGCTAGTAATCTTATAGGGCTCTTTAATATGTGTTAATTCTTTAAAAGAACATCTAATTGTGAATAAAAGTGCATTTATAACATGCGTAGGTCAAAGGCGTCCTATTGTTTCTTTTTTCCATTATGTCAAGACAAGACTGTAACAATTTTTTATTCATTTGTTGGTCCTTGACAGGCTAGTGATGTGCTAGCCGTAGAGCTCTTACAGAAGGATGCACGCTTGGCTGTTTCCGGGGAACTTGGCAAACCATGTCCTGGTGGAACGTAAGTCAAATAACATCTTCTTCTTACAAAGCAATCTCGTTATGCCATACCTTACAACACGCCACATCTTTACATTTATGTACCTATTGTAGGTGATAAAATAACAGAACTAACATTACTTTAATTAATGGGTGTTTGACGGATAAGTGTAGGTTTCTAACACCCCATTCCAAACAGCTTAAGTTTTCATGGGATTTCTAAGATAGTGTAGATCGGAGGGGGTAGTTCCGAACTTTCGACATGCTTCGGGGGTACGAATTGAAGCAATCCGAAGTTCCGAACTTTGGACATGGGACTCACTTCGTCGCCTTCATGGAGCATAAATGAGCTGGCCATTTTTGGGGGTACGAATTGAAGCAATCCGAAGATTGATTTATTTTTGGTGCCTGGACAGCAACCATCCCAAGTACTTTTTTTGTTTGAAATTAATTAAAAATGTTTTAAATATTTTTTTCTTTTAATAGATATGAATTACACATTCGAATTTCGATCGAGAATGCGTATTTTACAAAAAATTGACCTATTCAATTAAATTAGGGAAAAAAGTAAAGTGGAAACAAAATATTGGAATACATTTAAAAATTATCGCGTGTTCTAAAAAATGGACACCGAGTCTTATTAACCCTAAAATTAACAAAGTTCTTATAATATTAAGATTACATTTAAACAATATCGCACGGTTTTAGAAACCCCGACCGATTCTGTATCATGAACACAAAAATTAATAAAGAACAAAAAAAAATGAATACATGTAAGCAATATGACGCATTTTAAGAAAACTTAGACCCATTCCGTCTTAATACAACAACAACATTACCCTAGTGTCACAAAGACTTCCACCTACAGTGGGATAAGGGGGATCAGATGTATGCAGCCTTACCCTGTATTAAAACACAGAGAGACTATTCCGGATGACCCAAGACTATTTCATAAACAATTTAGTGAGTCATTTTGCTTTATTCTATCATATTTCCAAGCCAAAAAATAGTGAATCTTTGGCTCTAAATACCATGGCTCCATTGGACGCATATCCATCTTGTTTTGGAGCTTATTTCTTGATGGCGTTCATATCGAGAAGTTCTGGATGAGTATTTAAGTGATAAAAGAATGAATTCATTTTTCGGCCACTCATTCATATTCAGCAATGCCATAATATCTCCAAAGTGTGCATTTATATAAAAACTCAATTTGTATACCTTAGGAATATGTTGATCTAGAGGGCACGTAAGAAAATGATAAACAAACGTTGACACATGGCATCCAACTCATCGTCCAACAACCACAATCACATTTATGTCTCGACAAGTTTAACGCAACAGGTGTTGCGTTTTGTACGACAATTGAGCACTGTTGTGTAGTAGTTGACTAGTTGTATGGTGTGTGACGTCTTTGGTGCCAATGCTCCATAATCTCATTCTAAAGGTTTTTCGGCAAAAGATATTGGGCTTGTTGCCACATACATAATACCAGTGTTACGGTGTTCTACAAAAAACTGGACTAATTTGAGGGAAGTCGCCCGAACAATGCCAGTAATTGACAGTGTCTTACATCCTTTAAAAGTATTGTTGAAAGTTGAAACTTTCCGAGAGATTTATCATTAAAATACCGCAACGACAAACACCGTCATAGTATAGTTTTATTAGTTTCCACTTCTCTTAGAGAATGTCATTTAAATACTTGCATGCTCTTTCCTTAATACCCTAAGTGTGTTGCATGAATCGGTGAAATTCATTTATTATTGGATTACCCCCCCCACCCACACAACTTCTTTAGTTGTTTGATTCTGAATTGGGACATGAAATTGCTTCTGATGGAGTATATTCCCATATACCCCAGGGGTATCATAATCGCCGGTAGAAAACATTGCGGGTCCATCAAGGGCGCGAAATTACTAAGTCCACATCTGAGACTGACCCTGACCCCGATCGCCAAGGTCGGGAAAACAACAAGCTCAGGGATCAACCAAACTCTGCAAGTTATGAGCCTGACCTCAATGCACCCGAGGTCGGAACCAGGTCTGGCCGCGGAAGTCAAACATTTGGTCAACGGTAATCGAATACCGGGCAGTCAACTACCCCAAAGGCAGGAACAAAAGATGAAGGGGCGAGTCTTTTGTTCCCAGGCTCGAGCTCCCGAACATCAACCTCAGTAAACCCCAAGGTCTGAATATGGACTTAGGCGAAATCCGCGGGGATCTACTTCACAAGGAGATGTCGCCATGTCACCATCCATGCCAGGGAATATTCTCAGTTACCCACGCTTAACCACACGTGTATTCTGGCAGCGATTCTATCAGCAACAAACTCCAATCAGCAAGTTGTGATAACCTTCTCTCTCCAATCAGCTTTACACGCTGCTGCTCCCCATCGAAATAGGCTGTTAGTTTGTTAGAATAACTTTACACGTGTCCCCCTCTTATTAGTCTAGCATCTTTTGCTTGGGCACCAAGCATTTCTCTTTTCTCCTTAGTATAAATATCACCTTCCAACTTGTGGAAATGGATGCTTACTTGATACTTGAGATTTATACACTGAGATTTTTAGCCGAAGTTACGATCTGCACTTTCCGATCAGTTCACTCTCCCCCTTTTCTCTTATTCTCGGTGGATTCCGGCCACCCCTGGTCCGACGATCCATCATTTTTGGTGCTCTCGTTGAGAGCTGAACTGTGAACAAGTCAGATCCTCCCGATTCTTTCCAGACCTACAACAAACTTTTCTGCAACAATGGCCGGAAAGAGAATTCTGAGAAGTCGACGTGCTGCTGCCGCCGTCGCACAGGCGGAGCCTTCGCTGGAAGCTACTGCTACTTCTGGCGATAGGAGGGCCTCCAGGGGAAAACAAGTTGCTGGAACTTCTGCAGATCTACGCAGTCAGATTCAGCGTGCTTCTCCAGATCTGCGTCAGCAGATCTCACTCAACCGTGATGCAGGGAATGCCGTCCGCACAGGTGATCCCACAATTCCAGAAAAGTCTGATGGCGGATCCCTTTGCGGCGGTTGGTGCCCTCATCTCCGGGTTGCAGCAGGTGCTCTCCCCACGCTGCAATTTCAGCCAACAACTGCTGCGATGCAGCCGATTACTACTGTGGCTCCTCATGCCACTAGGCCTATCTCACCGGTGAACTCCAGATCCCGGTCTCTGAGAGTAGGTTCTATTGATGCCCCCTGGTGGTGGATAGGCCAGCACAGATGGTCTATCAATCTCCCCCTCGCCAGAGGGTGACTCCGGGGATCAACTCTCCCCCTATCCGTCAGGTGGCTTCCGCAGCACTTGTGAACGTTGTGCCTCTCGCACAGCAAACAGGAACTTCTCGTCCCGCTGCGGCGACACAGAGAATGGCGCCACCGCCACCTCCCACGCTACCGCCTAGGTACACTGCACGCCGTGTTGATTATGGCTGTACCAATGATGAGGGTGTCTATGCTGTCACCACTGAGGACTCCTCCCAGTCCCCCTCCCTACAACAGGATGACAACCCCAATCCCTGGATTAAGTGGGAAGGCGTCCCATCTTCTCCAGATTGGGGGACATTCCCCAGCAACAACAAAAACAGCCTGGGAGAAGGACTCCAGAGCGTATACCCGCTTTGGAGAGGCTAGGGGGCAATCAGCGGCGCCGACATGAGGTTCGAATGATCATCGGAAGAAACACAGGCGGAGACACTGCCGCACAGAGGAAAAAATGGAACAACAAGCTTTATGTGGGGGAGATTACAAACCCCCCACCTGCTGCCAAGAGATCAAGGTCGGATGTGATCTCGTTCAAGAAGCTGACATTCTGTCCAAGCTGAGCTCGGACACGCCTGAGTATATCTCCAAGATAGCTCAGGTGGAGGAGCTATCGAACCAAGGATACAACAGACTCTTATTCCACCAGGTACAGCCCATCCCAAGGGACTGGGCAGCTGATCTGAGAGAATACATTGACAACGGGCAACTGCCTCAGGGTGAGGCTGAGGCCAGACTTGTCAACCTCCGAGCTCCGACCTACACCCTCCTTGATGGCGTGTTATATAAATGATCTTACAATGGTACGCTTCTACGCTGCCTCAGCGACAACGAGGCCAAGCTAGCCATGAGGGAGGTGCATGCCGGGGTCTGCTCCGCACACCAGGGCCCCCACACTATGTCCAGAAAGCTCCTCCTACAAGGATATTTTTGGCCCACTATGGCAAAGTATTGCGCTCAGATGACCCGCAGTTGCAACGCGTGCCAACAATTCCAGAATGCCCCGGGACGCCCCGCAGTAAACTACACCCCTATTAGCACATCAATCCCATTTTCCAGGTGGGGCGCAAACCTCGTGGGAGAGCTTCCCCGAGGTACCGGCAACTGCAGGTGGATTATAGTCGCCATTGATTATTTCATCAAATGGATAGAAGCGGAACCATTGGCCAGCATAACCGAGGCGCAGTGCAGGAGATTTGTCCACAAGAATATCCTCACTCGCTTCGGTGTGCCATAGCAGCTCATTACGGACAACGGTACTCAATTCGAGGCCAAAAGCTTCCAGGACATGCTGGCCAGCTGGGGAATCAAACACACCGCAGCCTCCGTCACCTACCCGCAGTGCAACGGACAGGTGGAAAATACCAACCGCACCATCTTGGCGGGTTTAAAAAAGAAGCTCACAGACGAGCTCCATAACATTCTGTGTGCCTACAGAACAACTCCCCGTAGAGCAACGTGTGAGACTCCATTTTCACTATGCTATGGCTTTGAAGCCAAAGCCCCTACAGAGGTCACAATCCCGAACCCGCGGGTCCTGTCATACGACCCCGAGCAAAACGAGCAGAACATGCGGATCGACCTTAACTTCATTGATGAAAGAAGGGAGAACGCTTTCCTGAGGTCAGAGAACTACAGACGTCAGGTCAAGAGCTATTACGATGCACGAGTCCGAGGTTGGGAATTCCAAGTGGGGGACTACGTCCTCAGGCGACAAACAGCCAGCCAACCCAACGAGGGAGGGAAGATGGCCAAAAAATTTGAAGGGCCCT